GGTGGAGATAACGTAATGACGTCATTACCCTTGGCACATGTTTGCTAATGTTTGTTTACATTCGTATTCTTTTTCGCTTCGTACTGGTTAGTGGAAATCTGACAGCTTAGTCGGCAGGGAGTCATGGGGGAATTTACCCTGCTAGCAGAGTCGCTTCGATCTTTCCTAGATAAGTCGGGAAAGAGGAAGGTGACTCTGCCGACATCTTCAAACTTTCTTGTTGAGCATGCGCCAAGTTAAAAGGTAACCAAGCCTTATCCATTGTCGTCCCCAGGCCTCACTTCCGATTTATGCCATTTCTTCGTTGCTCGTAAGTTCCCGCGCTTAATATTCATGTTAGCGGTTCTGTATTTTTATGCAGTTGGTCACGATTCAAAGTTATTACGAGTTGAGAATGAGCATTTCTTCGGGATCACCTCGTATTCTTCGATCTCCCAAAACTCCGGTCAAGATGGCAGGCAGTGCCGTACGAAAAGACACCATTTCTTTGATATGCAGGACTTCGCTAGTCGGCGACCGATGTATGTTTAATGTTTTACAACACGTGGGACTTCTTCAAAAAATGGAAAGACTCCTTGACGATCAGCTTAACACCAATGTTCAATCAAGCAGAGTTTGCAGGCCTTGCGGTCGTAAAGTTGAGTCCCTTGCAAAGAAGAAAGAGGTGCTTACAGAGCAATTGAAATTGCTTAGTCCCCTCGTGATAATTTTGTGCCCAAATAAACTCTACTGACAGGTCTCACATAAGTCAGCCTCATCTTTTTATAGTGAAAACAATAAAGTGAAGTTTTTTTTTGCCTAACTTTCATGTCAGTGAGGAAGTGTAAGGGTCATGTTCAGCAGCTCTTCTAACCATAAAAGCAAATGCAGTGGTTTGCTATCCAAAGCGTGAAACAATGGCAATGATAAACAATGTTGTGTTATTGTTTTCTGCGAACAATGGGGAGACACCTTAGCTTCTACAGTACCGAATGAAAGATCATGTGGCCCAACTCCCTTTATTTTATAGGTAGTTATCTGCTATCCCTCAGGAGATCTGAAAAAGACTGTCCATGGAGAGATTGCAAATACCGTAAAGTACTTAGCTCTTGGCTTGTTCAGCACTTCCTGCAAAGCCATCATGAAAGCATCAGTGTTGCACAACACAGTTAAAGAGCTGGTAGTGAAGCACATGGATGATGAGTTAGAAAACTTGTGCAGAAAGCAAACTAACAGTATTCTTCTCCAAACCAAACCAGCGGAGTTTGTTTCCTTTGACATGAGGAAATTAGTTTGTGAATTGGAAAAAGAAGCACCTTTTGTATGGCAAGTACTGAAAAGTGTCTCGTCTTCAAAAAACAAGAAAAGAGCTGAAAAAAGAGGTGATCAGTCTTAAGATTTGACTACTGTGTGCGCGACTATTGGAGCAACAGTATTACACTTACCATGTGCTGAGATGTCTGCTTTGGCTTACAGAATGGGTTACTTTTACGTTATTCTGGTGCAGGGGGAATGGTATGTTGTAAATTTCTTGTATCATAAATCGTTTTCTTAGAGATGCACTGTCCTTATGCTTTTAGACAGATTTTTCCATTTTTATGGACATCCTGAGACTGCAGTGGACGTCTAAAAATTATAGGACTTCAGACAGTACACAGTTATCTACCCTTGATGCTAATTGCTTAAATTTGGCATGTGCCAATCATGATCCACAAAGAATATCTGCACTAAGTTATCAGAGAACAGGATTAGCAGGGAGGGAATAGGGTGCCTAGAGACAATGACTGAGACAAATCCACAAGGTGCCAGAACCCCTGGGTACCAAATAATCGGAGACAACTGTGATCTTCAGGTTCTGAGAGCAATACATGGAAAAAGTGTTGCCGAAACAAAAGCCACATTCTTAATGCTTTTATTGCCTAATCATAGGACTGCGGGAGGGTCCTGGATCACGGATACTGAGGGACTTAACGATGGAGCAGTTAAACTAGGTTGCAAAGGAAGAAATAAGAGCCCTTGGTTTTCAAAACATTAATGACCAAAGTGTGCAGGAGAATACTAAGTCTGAGGGAAATATAGAAAAGATACTCCAGGGAGCAAAAGAAGATTTTGGAATGAAGAAACGGAAAGGTCATCATGCAAACAAGACCAGGAATGTTACTTTCAGCACAATATTAGGGCAGGTTCATCACAAAGGAGCCGTTTTAAATTCGCTGGAGGACGTGAATTCAGACCCTTTCTGAAATTCCAAAGAAATATTTTCCAAGTGATCCAAAGGAAGTCTACCCATCGATGGATAAATAAGCACAAACGAAAATGGCATAAACAGAACAGGCTCATGGACAAACATGCTTAGTTCTTACAGCGTATGTAAAATGCATGAAAGCAATAATTGTTATTGTGCTTATCTCCCATGGTTTGTATATGTGTGTGTGTGTGTGTGTGTGTGTGAGGGGGGAGGGGGGGCAAAGTAACTTGAGAAATCAGTGCAGATGTACTTCCCATCACTTCTTTCTATCTTATCATGAAAACAAGAAGTTAAGTCTGAATGATTCAGTGGCTGAGTCATTGTATCTGAGTATTGAGGGAAGAAGCAGTTTTTGCCCAAATGGTTGGTAGAAGTTACAATGTAAATATGGGCCAAATTCAAGTACTTGTACGCCTAGGGTAAAAAAAAATTCCTGTCAAGATGAAAAGATACCCTTTACACCTTTCTTTTTCATGTTATACTATATTTCCTCGAATAATAGCCGTCCCTGGATTAATCCCCTCCCTGTCAAGTTTAAGTGCAATGTGATCCAGCAAAACTGGTCAGTGACGATTAAAGCTCTGAAAATTAATCAAGGAACTAAATTTGGAACACTTAAAATACCCATGTTCAGTTTATTTGATGTGATTATTTTTTAACTGAATGGGAAATAAAACAACATATGTAGGGCACGGCTTTCAGTGAGCAATATTTGAAATAATCGCCTTCCCTAGAATAATACGCCTGGCTATTATTAGAGGAAATACGGTACATCTACACTAGACAGATGAAATATATACANGCAAAACTGGTCAGTGACGATTAAAGCTCTGAAAATTAATCAAGGAACTAAATTTGGAACACTTAAAATACCCATGTTCAGTTTATTTGATGTGATTATTTTTTAACTGAATGGGAAATAAAACAACATATGTAGGGCACGGCTTTCAGTGAGCAATATTTGAAATAATCGCCTTCCCTAGAATAATACGCCTGGCTATTATTAGAGGAAATACGGTACATCTACACTAGACAGATGAAATATATACAATGTACCTCAAACCTGGATGCAGGTTAACTCGATGCTAATCCAATTCTAACAAAAAATTGAATACTTTGATTTTATCTTTTGTTGCCAATAATTATGCCTTCTCTTTTGAAGCAAGCTAACCTAGATACAAAGGAACTATGTGGTTTCACTTTTTCATAAGTCTTACTGTGAAACTCACAAAAAGTCATTTATGATGTTCTCGTCCATGCTATTTATAAACTCAACTTCGGCAATGTCATTGAAAATTCCATATACAGCCTTCAGAATTTCAACTGCCAGTTCCTTACTGAATACTGGGAAATTGGCCATTATATAGTCAGTAGAATATATGTACTGACATTTTTTTGCAATGGCTTCAATGACCTCATCATCAAGGCCACATGACAGTCCTACACTTCCAAATATGGAACTGCCTGCTTCGATCTTAATTTCTGGCAACATTTCCTGAAGAAACTGCCTGTCAATGTCGTCCACCTGTCTCGAGAGTGCAGGCACATGTCCTACTGCCAGGTCAATAGATTCTGCCACATGTACAAGAGAAGCAGAGTTGGGGGAACCCTTGATACAACCAGCGCATTGACATGATTTCTGGCACACATCACAACATTCATGCTTTAAATCGGGTGAATTGATCTTTTCCTTGAAATAGGTCATCAGCATGACTCTTCTACATACCTGCTCAGGGTTTTTAATGTACTTTCGCATATGATCATCACAGTGTAAAAGGTGGATTGGTCTGAAGTAAAGTGTTGCATCACACTTCTTGCCATCTCTTCCACCACGGCCTACCTCTTGGATATACTCTTCCACATTTGATGGGGGGGAGGGGGGGCATAATGTATGATGGAACGAACATCTGGGATGTTCACCCCCATACCCAGGGCACTTGTTGCTATTACCACACGACACTTTCTATCAATGTCTAACAGGGAGGAGAAGACCAATTCTTTGATATTGTCATTGGTTTTACTGTGATACATTGCTACCACTGGTATTGAGGTATCACAGTTACTAGAACCTCCCTTTACCTCATCAAATAGTAAATTTCTCCACAATCTTTGAGGGAACGATAGTATATGACAGTCTATGGAATTTGCGATGTATGTGCAAGAAACTGATCTACGAGCCACTGAAAAGTGTCCTCCAGTTCATCGACTTTCTTGACCAAATACGTGATGTTCTTTTTGTCAGGTGACTGCTTGACATGTTTTGTGTTGGTCATGTGAAGAATTTTAATTTCTGATAATTATTTTCAAAAACTGATAAGTTAACTTTGTTTTTCTACAAATTTAAAAAGGATCAAGATTCTTTTTGCAACAAAAGAGAAACAAGCAAACATTGTAAAATAATAAATTATTTATTTTAAAGAGAAAGATGTTTTTTTTTTCAGTCAGTGAAATGCAGTGCGTACACTCCCAACACGATTGACACCTACAGTGTATGAACTAGTCCAGATGCTCAAGCAGTGAGGTACAGGAGACTCGTGGACCACTTAGCTACATTCATGTACTAAACATGCTGCATACTGCTAGGAATGGATCATGTATTATTTCATACAATGTATAACAGTTTTTGTAATATCATACTTAACATATTTAATTACCGGTATTCAAATAAAATCTCTCTCACTGACTAATAACAAACACTTACTTTAGCTCCTATATTACCAAATGGAATATCAAAATAAATCGGTTTGAAAGGTAATCAAATATTTGACTTGTACCACATGTTCAAGAGTGTAGAGTAGCTTAGATCTTTCCATGAATCACTAAAAACAAACATTGGCTTACAACAATTATCAAAAAACAAAAAAACTCACCACTGTACAACACAATGTGACTTGTCAATAGCAATTCTGATGATACGGTCACAGTACCGCGTGAGAAGTTTTGCCACCAGTGGATTTTCAAATACCTCTGGGCTTGCAAACAAGATATCGTAATCACGTACTTCAAGCAAAGAAGTCGAGTTTTCCACTTCAACGTTACAAGTTTGATACCAATTCTTTAGCATGAAGTTATTTGATCCTTGTTAAGTGAATAGGGAGTTTAAGATACGGTCACTACGGACTACAGACTACGGTAATACACGGCGAGGACTGCGCATGCTCGATAGCACGTGGGTTTCGTAGTCCGTCGTGTGGTTGCACGCTACGGGGAGTAGTCGAGGAGATTCGCGTAGTGAGGACTATGTAAGTATTTTTTTGCCGATTTTTGACCAGTTTTGTTTTCTTAGCACTACTTTTATGTTGAACAGTCTTTAGGCAATTAAACTTGAGCGAAAAAGAAGTAAAAATCGCATTTTTTTCTGTTTCTGGTTCTGATTACTGACGCCCTTTAAATTCTGTTATGTTTACAAGCAGATTAGGATGTCAACAGGAGATGAAAGCAGGTAATTCACTTTCTTTTTCTACTTTTCAAAGGTGAACTGCAAACTTTGTTGGAATTATGTACTTTTTCCAAATCAAAATAGATTGTAAAAGCTTTTACAGGGTTCGTACAGGTCATGGAAAACCTGGAAAGTCATGAAATTTAAGAATTCATTTTCCAGGCCTTGAAAGTCATGGAATTTAATTGTCGGTCATTGAAAGTCATGGAAAATTGAAGTTATGTTTGCTAGACTAGTTCGTGCACAGTCCAAAATAAGGACAAAAAGACGTAATTAAACGGCTTTTAGAAATGGCACATATGGTGGTGTTATCTGTTGCACTGAGTGAGGTAAATACCCTAAATAAAAACAAGGATAGTTTTGAAAATTTTCTTGTGACAGCTATAACCAAAGTCATGGAAGACTGGAAAAGGTCATGGAAAAAGTAATGGAGAGTCATGGAATTTGAAGGGCTCAAAAGAGTACGAACCCTGTTTTATATAAAACGGAAACGTCATTGTCAATCATGACACTGACTGGGTATTTTTTTGTCTCTTTAGTGTGTGCTCCAGTGGCGAGTCAGCCGTCTCTGTTCGAACAAAGTAAGCTCACATGTCTGAAAATGGCATTTGTATAAATCGTTTTTCAAATGCTCATACATTAATTTATATTCTGGTTTTGTGTCCTAAAATTGATATGCAGAAGGAGAGTTGAAGCTTGGGAAGGGAAGTTAATGGAGAACTATGGTGAATCGAAATCTGATACAATGACCAAATTGGGAGTCTTATGTTTACTTTGGATTTAAAATTAATATTTTGGAATTTAACCTTTTTTCCCAAATAAAATACTTTACTGACTGGAGACAGCAGCCTAAGGACAGCTTTTTATGGTTTTATTGATCAACAGGTGTTAAAACGTGATTGGCAGGATACAATTTTGTGTTAAGAAAACACTTTTGATGCTACGTGTTAATTTTATAAAATGTGTTCCTTTTTAGTGGGCCGTTTCGTTGGAATGAAGCAAAAAATACTCTGCTCCTCCGGGAATTATACTCAGAGCCATTTCTGTACAAAGTGGGCAGCAAGGAAGCTGGCCAAAAATGGACAGAAGTAGCCGAAAAACTAAACTGCTTCAGTCTTTTTAGAGACATGCCTCGGGATCAGCGAAGCGTGAGGGAACAATTTAACAAGCTGTTAAAAGACTACAAGAACAAGAAAAACAAAGAAGAAAAAGCAAGTGGGATCAACCCTGATCCACCAACAGAAAATGAAACATTGCTTGAGGAATTAGTTGCGGCCATGGAGTCAACAACACTTCGTGTAGGAAATGCAAACAGCAAAAAAGATGACCAGAAGAGGAAGGATGCACTTGCATGTAGAGATAAAGCCATGAGCACGTGGGCAAAGGCTGGAGCAAGTGGTGAAGCCTCTGATTCTGGGGACGAAAGTGCCACAGAGAAGAAGACTGTAAAGAGAAGAGGAAGAAAAAGAAGAGCTAGTTCTGATCCTTTCCAGTATTTAGCAGAGAAAACAGCTAAGGAAACAGACCTCAGCAAAGAAGAGCTGGAACTTCAAAGACAGCAGCTGCAACTTCAGGCTGAGCAGCAAAAAGAGCAATTCAAAGTGCAACAAGAGCAGATGAAGCAAATGATGCAAAGTCAAATGAACACTCAAAACCTTGTTCTTGCTCTAGTACAGAAACTTACAAAGTGATAACATTTAAGAGTTTGAGAGCTTGGCTGTTTTACCATCCCATACATTCAATTTAAAGGGGCATTTTGCATTTTCTGGAGACTCTAATACGTTGTTGTTTGTTTCACTGAACCTTTAACAAACTGTTGCATTTTTCTATTAGTTATCAGAAAATTCCCCAAAAATACATAAGCATGCGTGGTGAACTTTGTTTGGTGAATTATTGTAAGTAGAAACAAGAAAAAGGATAACTTGTTTATTGTTCATGTTTTCCACAATACAGGAATTTAATATTTTTTACCAAAATGGTCATGAAATTTTTATTTCTTTGACGGTTTGGATCCATTATCTTTTTCATACAGGAATTAAGTTAACAGTGAATAGTCACTGTATTAGTTGATAGTAAAGTTGTTGCACATACCGTAGATGATTACCATGGCAACTGCATACTTAACTCCAAGGTTTAACAACTTCATTCCATTACAAAAACATAAACTTAGTGTCAATCAGAGTTTTCTGTGCCCTCCCTTCCTGGTTCAGACCCTCTCCTTTACCCAACACCCGGCAAACAAAGACAACTCTGACCAATGTTTTAAAATATGATTAGTACTTCATAAGAACTTCATGGGTTATACAAAAAGGCTGCTTTGTCCTGGATTTAAGTGAACATTTGTTTTATTCTTTTTTTAAGCCTTGCTGCTTTCTCTTTTTAAATTTCATTTTCACGGACTGAAGACTCACCAGACACTAGCAGTAATCTTGCATGAAAAAATAAAACCTGAAATCCTGGATTAGCTGCTAGAACAACCTAATATATTTTGTAACTTGGCATCGGGCTCAGACATCTCTACTTGATATACTGTGATGCCATTAGGCCAAATAGTCTTGAACAGTTAATGGATCAAGTTGAAAATGTGTTGATGTTGTGTTACCATAAAGGCAGGTGAGAATATTTCTAAACAGTGCGGACACTATATATTGCTTTCCAACTGCGCTTAATCCTAACTTTAAGTTTTTTTTGAAATCTAAGAACTTGAACGAGTTGGAGATATCGCCAAATAGCCATTCCACCGAAGCTCTAGCAGAACTCATTGCTGAATTAAATGCTTCCATATCGGCTGTAAATACTGGGACCTCCCCTATTCGGTAAGGGGCCATTAAATGAGGACGAAGAGGGTAAGCTGGGTCTCCATAGAGACATAGGACGTCCCCCCTTGGACTGTAAGCTTCTCTTTCAAGCGTTTGTAGCAGGCCAGAGTCTTTGAGCATCTCTGCATCGTGGCGTGCACCCGCCACCGGACCATAAAGATTTGCTATCAAACCATTTGGCACTACTACGGATTGAAATCATAGCGCATGAACACGCTTGTGCCCGTTGTATACAACGCGCTGTTTTTCTCCAGGGCGACATATGGGGTGAAACGTGCCGTCAATGAAACCAAAACAATTGGTAAGTGGACTTCCTTGTCTTGCTATAGCACAGGCGTATTCCTGAAGGCAAGCAGGGGTAAGAAATGGCTGATTCCAAGAGGTTAAACAAAACCCATGTTCATTAAAAACCCAATCAAGTACAGTGTTAGCGATCATGCACAGCTCTGGCAGCGGACGTCCAAAAGTTGAAATTAAATCGAAATAGCGGCATGGGTATGCTAATCGTTTTAGCAGTAAACAAAGTCCTAAGCCACTGCAAACTGTTCCCTGTGGGAGTAGTTAAGGGGGTTGATATGGCAAGTAACCAATCACAGAGCAGTATTCTTTTGTTTAAGATTTAGAGAACAATTGGAACAATGGAGCTCATTCGTATTCAGTACTTTGAACCAATCACAAAACAGCAAGAGCAATGACGTCATTCAAAAGACCCCGTGCTTGATTTACGTAATTGACGACGTCACATGTGCAAAGATAATAGTAGATAATGTGATTGTTCATAAATGACTTCTTCAAAAACATCCGCCTCTTGTACCTGCGCGAACTTTCCATTTTATTACTTCTACGAATACACCCGCTATGAGTACCTCCATGAATGCATCCAATGAGGAGTGCAACCACATCACAATCATATTAAATTTCTCATCTACCTCCAACAAAAATTCCAAAAAGTCTGCAACGTGCAAGACCAAGTCCAACAAGAGGAAGGTGCAAACAAGGGAATTGCCTTAAACCAAAAAGGCTCGTGGGGTGGATTGGAGTGAAGAGAAAGTGCAAAGGTAAGCAAATGGTTTCATGAAAAAGACATAAATGTGAAAAAATACTACTAATAAAAAATTTATTTTTATAGGACACCTGAGGAAGAACAAGAAGACAAATTGAAACAGCAACAAAGACGAGATGCGTTAGAAGCCAGACTTCAAAAAGAAAAAGAAAAACCCAAGAAAAAGAAAATAACCTTGTAAAACTGTAAAAAAATAAAACCCTGTTAAGCTTTACAAGTGTGTCGTTTTTACTCCCCTACTGGAAAAGGAAGTAATGCGTTCAAGGAAAACAGAAGTTCAAGTTTCAATTTTTTATTTTACAAACAAGAATAAAGTACAGGTGACTATTAAACTTTAATGTTAAGACTTCGTTTAAATAATTTGTTCAGTTCCAACAAGGCATCGGGGTAATCATTAATGTTAAGACTTTGTTTAAATAATTCATTCAGTTCCAATAAGGCATCGGGATAATCGTAGTTATTGCGTACGCCAATAATGGCAGTTCTGTTCATCAGCGTGGGGTTCATTATCTGTTCCTCTGTCATTTGCTCACAGGGAGAGAATTGGTCTTGGCTGTTGTCAAACCACATCCAGATATTTCTGTCTACATCGTAGACATACAGACTTTTCTTTAACAATTTAGCAAATTCGACACCCCATCCAGTTCCACCGTGGATGAGTTTGGTCCCTGTTTGAAATGAACCAAAGGCTAAAACCATGGAAGCATTCTTTACCACATGATAATTACGGTGAATGTACTGCATGCTAATGGGACTTTGAAGGTTTTGGTTTAGACGAAATGCCGCTTGGTTCGTGAGCGGGATAGCTTCTCGTAGAGCCTCATGAGATACCGGTGGTATAAGTTTGCTTCTAGGGTGGCAGGGTGGAACGTACACCTCAACGGCCATACCATGATTGCGCGCTAATTTCTCGGCTTCCAAATCCACACCCAACGCACCACCAGTCACAATCGTGTAAGGACTCACGTTAAACATTGTTTGCTTGATGCACTGTATCGTACCCTGGTTCCACAGCTTGTCGGGCTTTCAAGTTTTTACACTGACGTTCCAAGTCTTCTAGTTCCAGGATAAGTTCTTCACACAACAAGAGCAAATCTTTGACAATCACTAACCAGAGCGACCGAGTGGCTATCATCATTCTGATCAAACAAACTTGGGCAACATGATTTTAATAACATCTTAGACCAATCAGTAGAGAATGACGTCAATGGACAACTTACGTCAATGAGCACGATGAGAACAAAAGACAATGTACATCATTGGACGACTTACGTCAATGAGAACAATGAAAACAAAAGAGAGTGTAAATCAATGGACAACGAACGTCAATGAGCACAATGAGAACAAAAGAGAATGTACGTCGTTGGACGACTTACGTCAATGAGAACAATGAGAACAAAAGACAATGTATGTCATTTGGACGACTTACGTCAATGAAAACAATGAAAGCAAAAGAGAGTGGACGTCATACCTCGATTGACGTCAATGAGAATGGACAAAATAAGACAAAACACGACTTGTGAGACACATTCCATCAGCAAGATGAATCATAAACCTACTCGACCTGCACCAGTCATTGCCCCCAAGAAAAACAAGAAGAAAAAGACAGAACCCATGGTAGAAGTCACGATTCCACAGTCGACAGAACTGGAAGAAGCCATTCAACAAATCATTGAACCTCCACCTCCAAATCCTTCCACTTCAACATTCCTTAATGCCATGCAACGAGTAGACAAACTGGAGAGGGTGTCTGAGGGTGAAGTAAAAGAAGAAAATGAATTGGAGAAGGCTTTGTGAAAAGCACGATTGGCAAAAATCTTTGAAGGTGAAGTAGAACATGAAGAAATAGCGGAGCCAGAAAAGGTGGAAATTGAAGTTGTTCAAGAGGCAGAGCAACCCGGGATGACTGAGGCAGATGTGCATACTGTTCTCTACGAGTATTGCCCATTTCATGTGTCTACCCTCCTACAACCAGTAGACCACCACCCATCCCCAGAACGGATGTCTTTTTGTCCTGAGAAAAGCTGTCCTGTGTTCACCAGTGAAAGTAACAAGCAGCCTGTGATTCAAGCGTTGATGATGGACACACATCCCACGATACGATCCCAGTGGGGAATGTTGTTTTGTCATTGTGGCTTGGTCCCTAAGATGCGCCTTAGTAAAACCATCAGAAACCTGCACAAGGTGTTTTTGACCTGTGGGGAACGAGACAAAGACAAAAGGTGCAAGTAGTTCCAGTGGATCCATACCCCAGTATTTCGTCCACGAGCACGACCACCACCCCACTGGTTGCCAGAGTATCCACCATCAGACCCTCGGTTTGTACCTACCACCAATCATACTTACAAGCCAAGACCTCTGAAGACTATAAGTCCCGAACATGAATCCTTTTACTGAAAGGATTCATATATCAGTAATAGAATTATGACTGAAAAAGATTGGTTCAATCAGTTTGCTGAAAGTGCCCAGCAGCAGGAGCTAGAACGAAAGCAGAGGCAGAAACAGTTCCGCTTACCCAGTGAATTTTATTGGAGTCCAGAGATTGAAGAGTATTAGGAGAAGAATCCAAAGCCTGCTCCAAATTGGATCCCAGAATGTTTGAACTTTTAATGATGTAAGATTTGAAGCTTGCTGTAAAAGTCTGCATGACATTCATTAAAGTGTTGAAAAAGTCTGCAAATAAGAGTTTTCCATCCGTTTGACACTGGGTGTAAATTTAGAGGGATTTGTATGGGAATAGTGTTGAAAAAAGACTGCAGATAAGAAATGTCTAACCGTTTGGTCCTGACATGTAGGGAGTACCAGGATTGAACCGTTCGGAAATGTTCAACCGTTTCACACTGGTCGGGGTATAAAAGCGAGCGGCGCTTTGGTCTTTTCATCTTTGCTGTCATCATGTCTTCTGCAACCAAAGCCTTGCTTGATATGACTCAATTATGGTACCAATGTAAAGAGCAATTATAAATAACCCAAGCCACCTTACAAAGAAAAGAACAGCTCATTGATATCATGAAAGGGAAATTGGAAGCGTTATGTGTGGATAATAGCGGAGCTCCTCGCGCGCGCGAAGCGCGCAGAGCGGAGCACCATGGGTAAGAAAATTTGGTAAACTATCCATCTCAGAAAATTTGGTTATGACGTAGCGTACGCCCGCCCACCCGTACACACGCTTCATGTAAGCCGATGTCAAATGTCACAATAGATCTTGCACAACTCGACTAGCCTCTTAGTTATGTAAGCCATCCATATGAGTACGATTAGATTAACAGCTGTCAAAATTAGGCATCCGCTGACAATTATCACATGACTATCTCGCGGGCTCAGATGAAAGACCAGTCGTTTTGCCTCTACATATAAGCTGATATAATATGTCACACTTACCAATACAACATAAAAACAAAACTACGCTGGGCAAGGCTGTCAGTTGGCTGACAGTCGTTTAAAGATATATTGGCAAGCCAAATTAAGGTCAATTGAAAGCTGTCAAAATCGGACATGTGCAGACCACTATCAGAAAACTAATAACGTGGGCTCAGGTTCGCTTAGGTACACGATCTGGCGTTTTCCACTACATGCCGGACGGATATGTCTTACTCACACTCGTAGTCTGTTAATTCGAATATTCGCCATTCTAATGAAGGTTAATTGACAGCTGTCAAACTAGAGTATACGCTGGCCATCATCACCTGAGTGTATCGCGGGCTCATTTGTCTATCCATTGAGGTCACGTAGTGTTTAAAGTTTTGCGCTGATATTTTATTTGATCACGGGCTCAATTCGAAGTCCCATAGCTTAGAAAAACGATCCATCTTAGAAAACTCGGCAATCACGTGACCATACACCGACCACCCGACCTTCCGTCCGTCCGCACCACAGGTATACCAATGTTTAATCTCACACTTTCTAGCTAGTTTGGGAGCCTGCAACCTGATATTGTACATCCATGTTTTGATTAATTGACAGCTGTCAAAATAGTGTTTCTGCTGACCAGTATCGCCTGACCCTATCGCGGGCTCAGGTATCGACCCACTGAGTTCGAGTGTTTTTTTTAACGTATCCGCTGACAGGTTGCTACTTTTCAATTATCGCAGGCTCATCTTCAATTTTTTTAAAAAGCATATGAAATAAGTCGAGTTCATGAGCCGCACTTTTGAAATGTTGATTTCGAACTGATTTCGGACGCGAAAATTCAACCGGCTGTTACATTTGCATGCGGGGAATCTGCGGGGAAGGCAATCACTTTTGACTTTTCTCACTGTCACGCGTTGATCACGCTCTACGTCCAATTTTTATGTTCGGATTGGTCAAAATTTGGCAGGTGAGTTCATGCGGAAAATTTATGCAGCATCTGGAAACTTGCTTACTGATAGCTGGAGCTTGTAGAGTTTTGTGTCATCTTGTGATGTTTTATACTGGCTTTTCCTACTTGGTGTACACAACGAAATACAGCTGCTATCAAGATTGTTCTGTAATTCATGGCTGGTTTGTTTATTGCGCTTTTTGTTGACAAATGCACCGCTTGTCAAAGTCATTGGAAATCCGATTTCGGATGGCATCATTTTCAAAAATGAGCTTACTCACTTGCCCTTGCTTGAGGCGTAAGAGGGTTGAAAATTCTGGAACACTTGATGACCTTCAGAAGCAGCATCTCGACTGGTAAGCCTGAGAAATTGTTGTCTTTGATGTGTTTTTTTTTCGGTTTCCTGAAGTCGAGCGTATGATTTATGCGGCTTAAGTTTATACACGAGCAATGATCTAACCTACAATAGTATCAGGTTTAAAAAGTCTTTAGACATTTTTTTGACCGCAAATTCAAAGAAAATGTTCCGAAGATTATTTACTTATGATTTTGGCTGTAAACAGAAAGCTCTGAGCGATTTTCTTGCCTCGAATTCACCTTGAAAAAGAGCAAACACCGGGAAGCCAGCTTAAAACATAAATAAGCTTATGCTTACCTGACTCATGATTTTTAAAGACACTTTACTCTCAATACTTCACTTCGTGGATGAAAATTATTGTCTCTGTACATGTTTCACCGAATTATATTTATTTTATTGATTCTTAGTAGTCTCTCTCGCAATTTTTATCACTGCACCGGTTGTATCCAGTCGAACATAAACATCTCATGCAGGAATACTCAAAACGCCGCTCGTAAATATCACTCGCTTTTAAAGATTACACATACCAAAACCATACGCAGTTTAATAAATAAAGGGAAATAAAACCTAAACATAACAATTTATCTATCATGTTGAAGTGTAAATGGTAACTCTATCACTCGCACTGCAAATTTGGTGCCTGTCAAAAGTGAGTCCCGTCCGGCTGGCCGAAAAGTGATTTTGGGAATTTGTTTATTGTTTTCATTAAAAGCCCATATTACCCTGCATATCACATAGGACCAGATTTTTCTAACTGAAAGTCTTAGCATTTTAGAATTCTCTTCATGAAAACGTTTTATAATTCAATGCTATAATTTGTTGTGCAAAGGAAGGGCGTGCTTTGATCGTCGTGGATATTGAATGAGTGCAAATTCTCTTGCAAAATTGTGAAAAACTGCAGAATTATAGGTTTAAATAGGGCAAAAAAGAACAAATTCTGTCCGCGGTCTGTATGATAAAAACAAGGGCCTCATAGTACTGTTTACCTGAGACGTGATGAGAAAAAGTATGTTTTAAAGGCTGGTTTACACACCACCAGATTCGTCGCCAAGATTTACTAGTAAACTAAACTTGTCGAACACAAAAAATCCGGCCTGTTTTTTTATTTTGGCCTCTCTTTTAGACAGAGGAATGCAACGTGTAAATTGGCTGCCACCAAGGACTATCGTGGCGCGTGTCTCTTAAAATTATATTCCGGGGTTGTCCAATTATCCATAGTCTCTCAAACGGAGCAATGTTTGAGAGAGTGGTGAATGCCACATTATGATGCAACAGCTAATGCAAATACAATACACGAATAAGTAGGTCTATTTGATTTCCAGGCCTAATCTACTGTGATCGAACATGATTGCTATTTTTGGGTGTACAAATAAGACTATTTACTAACTCGATGTAAAAGCTGTTTCACTCTTGGACTGTCAAATTATTTTTCTCTAAAAACGTTTTCTCAAACGTCAAATGAATGTGCCCTGATCTGTGGATTACAAGTTTATTGTTTGATTTAAATTATGAATTTATTAACGGGAGCTTCGCTTTTAGCCGTGGCTAAATCTATATATTAAACAGTTATGCTATCAGTTGTGGTGTTCCTCCTGCCGTGACTATCTGGATCGTAAAAAACCAGGAAACACCATCGAATGTTCGCCCTGTCCTTACTGTATTGGGATATAAAACGAACGACACATTGTTTCATCCACATTCGTTGTGATACAACATGACCTGGCAGTGGCGATGTTTGCGTTGGCTATGTTATAAACTCTGTGATAAAACAATCATTCCCAAAGGAAAAGCCTCTTCACTTCCCATTTTTGTATTGATCATGCAACGGAATCCTACATGGGGGCGATTTGCTGTCTACATTGTCTGGGTAAACACCACGTTTCCCTGCGAAGGAGAAGCGATCTGGCGTTATTTAAGGAGAAAGTTTCCTCAATGGAATTATTCCTTCTCTTATCTCCTGGGACAGTGGATATGGTATCATGTACAAAAAAGCATCGGTTTATGAAGATCCTTCTGTTCCTGGAGCCTTGGGCGGAGTACAACGCTTTGCCAAAGCAAGTGGCCTCCACCAAAAAAGCTCAACAATTATTACAACAGCGATTGAGTTATACACTACACAAACCAGGTTGTCAACATTTTCCCATATTACCTACGCTAGTGTTTGGGGTCGATGAGCAGTGGCAGATTGATTTAGCCGATTTAAAATCCCTGGCGAAATGGAATAAGGGTTACCAGTATTTGATTACCATCATTGATGTGTTGTCCAAGTTTGCGTGGGCCGAACTTATCAAAAGTAAAGGTGGCGAGCAAGTGAAACAGGGGTTAGAACGGATATGGAAATGCGCTTATCCACAACAACCATTACGGGTACAGTCAGATCTCGGAAAAGAATTCTATAATTCTAAGGTTCAAGCCCTTTTTAAACAACAAGGAGTCCATCACTTTTCAACGCATGGAGATACCAAAGCCGCTGTGGTAGAACGATGGAATCGTACCCTCAAAGAACGTATGTTTTGTTATTTTACGGCCAAAAACACCTTGCGCTACATAGATGTCTTACCTTCCCTGGTCAAGGCGTACAACCATACCCTTCATTCTAGTCATGGCATGAAACCAGCCAATGTCACTCCCTCTCAGGGCCGTCAAGTATGGAACAAACTCTACGCCCATGGATTGCAAACCTCAAAGAAAATACCCCTCCGTCAAAAAGGAGATAAAGTCAGATTAAACAAAAAACATCGCCCTTTCAAAAAAGGGTACCTCCCAGGGTGGACGGAGGAAGTCTTTTTGATTCAAGACGTAAAGCGACGTCCATTGGTGACCTATAAACTCACCAAGTGGGATGGTACACCTATAAAAGAAACTTTTTATGAACAAGATGTTCAAAAAGTCAACATTTCGGACGAGTTACGAGATACCCTTCTTAAGGGAGGTCTTGGAAAAATTGATTCAGTCAGTCTCACCCCGTCTGTATCAAGAGGTGTTTTGTCATGATCACACGAAGTGATCATCAATGAGTCTTTGAAGCATTTGTCATGGAAGAATGCTTGTATTTCTTACAACATCCCCTCAAAATGTTTTTTCAAGTACCATGGGATGGGGTGCACTGGCATCACGTAGTCGAATTAGCTCAACAAGCTCGATGGCCTGATCTGAAACAGTATATGGACACAGTGGGTGAAACCTATTTAAGGGAAGAGATGGAATTGGTAATCCAGACAGTATCCCCTCGCTTGTATCGAGAATATTGGTCAGTATGCCCAAACAAAAACGTCGTTGTAAAAGGTTAACGCGTCCGTTTCGAGGGGGTGGACTGTGAACAGTCTTGTCAAAAGCCGCCAAAATCGGGTATCAACTGGGTAAAAGCAAACGGTACAAACGCATGGGTGCGAAAGGGGCCACGGGTGATTACAGGGACTTCGCGCACCTTGGGAGGTGTGAGAAACAAGGTATAAAAGACAACAAACACACTTGACGGAAGAGATGATTTGTCAACCAGCCACCGCGATTGTGGCCGGACCCTCGGGCAGTGGAAAAAGTGACTTAGTGGAACAATTGTTACTAGAGAAGAAACTCTTTTCACCCCCTCCCAAAAAGATTGTGTATTGTTACGATCGTTGGCAACCACGGTTTGAGAGAATGCAAGAGCAGGACAAGATTCGTTTTCATCGTGGAATACCGGAGGAAGGTGCATTGATCAAATGGTTTAAACCTCAAGATCATGGGACATTGGTGTTGGATGATTTAATGGAGGAAGGTGGAAGTGATAAATGCGTGTTGGATTTATTTACAAAAGATTCTCATCATCGGGGAGTAACCGTGTTGTATCTTTCCCAAGATTTATTTCCACCGGGTAAATTTTCCTAAACCATTAATCAAAATGCTCATTACTTGGTGGCCTTCAAGAACCCCCGTGATCAAACAGGCATTCCTACAGTGTTATTAGAAGCCTTTCCAGAACGATGGCGCACCGTCTTACGTCTCTTTCGACGATTGACTACACGTCCCTTTGGCTATTTATTGTTGGATCTCCATCCTGCCTCCGATGATCGCTACAGATTATGGAGTCATTTGACCAAACGAGCGGGCGACCACAGATGCATACTTTTAGAGAGGACAAATTATTGACGAGACTAGGAAAACCCTATAAATAAACGCGTACACCTACCTTGAATCATTGCATTCATCATGGGCAGAAGAACCAAAGGCAAACGTAAACAAAGAGGGATTAGACGCCGTCATCCACCTGGTGTGGGGTTTTAAAAAGGTGGTATTGTTCCCTTACTCGCCCTTGCTTTACCAGCTCTAGCCGCAGCAGGGAAAGCAGCTGCTCTCGGGAGTTTAGGGGGTGCTGCCAGTTATGGTGTCAAGAAAGGATTGGAAGCAGCCACTCGTAGACGCCGCCGGTAACTATAAAGACCGGATCATGACACGAAAAGATGACAGACAGGATGGAGGGACGTATGAGTCGACAAGTTCCGTTTTTAAAAAGTGTACTCAACGAAGCCAATGCTCACAAACGTCAACAGCGATTACGGTATGCGAATATTGATCAAATCAATGCAGTGAGTGAACTAGTCCTGAATACTTTACGTGGTGTTGTACCTCAAGGAAAGTTCACCTTGAAGAGAATGAGACCTCACGCATCCGTGTTACGATTCATTGCCAATCCTAGAAATTCGGCGAAACGTCGACGACACACCATGATTCATCAATTAGGAGCCGGCAATCTAGTATGGAAAGAATTACGTCGATGTTATGAGTGTAGCCAGCGCCTATATAAATAGCGTGTGTTTTCTAAACGACATGTTAAACCAAGATGAGACCGCAACTCGTGGACATGTTGGTTCGCTTACTGCAGACGTTACGGGCTATTCTAGTGACGCTTAAAGAACTGAGAGAGATGATGAAACAAAAAGTGACCTGGGCTAAACTCAAAGAGCTAGTAACACAGTTTTTCCAACGAGTGTAAAGCAGACCACACCTACCTAGAGGTCGATCAGTCAAGATGGTTGAGGACATGAAAAGTATCCCCGTGCAAGACTCAGTTGCGTTTTTACGATTACGAGACCATTACAAAAATGACTTGTTGGAAGACAGTCGTTTAAACAAAGCCACACATCATCTCTTGTTAACGAGTCCATCCTCAGATGCGTGGAAACGACCTCAGTTAAAAGCTGTTGGCAGAGAACTAAGACAGTGGACTAAATGCGTTCGTCAACCAGGTGGAAGTCGTGTGGGAGCGGGTGGAGGAGATGTAGAGGAAGAGGATGAGGATGAAATGAATCTAGCCGCAGGACCTATGCACACCTTGTTGACTAAATTATTACCATCCCCAAAACGTATAAAACAGACCCCCTCATCTCCCCATCCAGTTGTTACTCCAAAAGCAGGCGTGAAAAGGAAAGTGTCTTCAAGTGGTCCAACGAAACGCTCGTCTAATTTATCCAAGTCCTCTACTCCTAAAGGACCAGGGGCGCCGAAAAAGAAACGAGTCTCCTTAGCCGTCACGCCCAAAGGAAAAAAAACACCTAACAAGAAGCGACTGTATTTTACACCACCCCAATCCACCCCAGAACTAATAGGTGGAGAAGAATTAGCTGAAGAACTTCCTATCTCAGGGGCTTTGGGTGAGCAACCGTGGAGTAAACCCAAGGAAATTGCCCGCAACGTGTTTAAATCGTTCCGTCGTAAATCCAGAAAAGCCGAGGTACAGACCTTGAAACCAGTCCCAGGTTGGAAACCATTTGGAACCCCCCTCCAATGAAAACTTTATGGCAAGGACTACTCGTAAACGCAAGACCTCTAGTAAAAGGCGACGTCTTCAATGGGGAGGAAAGTTGGATATTCAGAAATTGTTGAGCAACACTGGGATCGAGTTCCACATCCCCGGATATCAGTACGCAGGGCCTGGGACCAAGTTGGCCAAACGTTTAGCAAGAGGGGATCCTGGGATAAATCGCTTAGACAAAATTGCCAAACAGCACGATATCGCTTACAGTAAAGCCAAGAATTTGCAAGATAAATGGAAAGCTGATGACGTCATGATCCGAGCCATTGATCGATTGCCAGGCATGAAAAAGTTGACTGAAAGAATGGTCAAAAAAGTAATGCAAGCCAAGAGACGTCTTAAGTTATGTGTTTTTTGATAAAATGAATAAAAAGTGTGTTGTGTGTTTTAAACAAGAGTGTCCTTATTAATTGTATACCCTCACTCAATAATACACACCATGTTTTTTTTAAAACAACTGCCAAGTATTTAATTAAGGGAATTGCGTCGCCATGCAACCTCTTCCCTTCATTCACTGCCATGTCCTATTTCCAATGGGGACATGTAAGGTCTCCTAAAGAGAACTCGCCCTTTCAAAACTATTGACATTGTTATAACGAAAGCAAAAGATCGACTTCATGATGAATGCGTGAATAACCATAGGGATAGGACCGTTTGGTGGGGAGGTCAATGGCCCTTTTATCAAACACTAAACCGTATTTTTTAACGCGTTCCGTCAACCTAATACGTTTGTTGGGTACATCCCGTTGAAAAAAATATGGATCTTTGACTAAGATGGTTCTTCTTTTGTCCTGGGGGTCATCTAATTCGGCAAGGATGTTGGCTTTCATGGTGTGATAATTCAGCGCTGCAGTCCCACGCACATTGAGGGTAAACCCGCGCACTTTACACTCCACCTTTCCACCACGTGTGATATACCAATAATTTTTTGCTCCGCCCGAGACAAACTCCTGGATCACATCTCCCTCTAACTCGTCTGTCATACATCCAAGGTAGTCGTCCTTCCACTCACATTCCCAGCATTCTTTCACTATGTAACCATTCAGGCGAAGACAACGGCTCTTGTTCCAGGTGGCCTGGTACAATTCTTCCAGGGTTCTGTCCGGGGAACAGTAATGCTTGTCATCTCGAACGGTTTGAGAGAATGCAAGAGCAGGACAAGATTCGTTTTCATCGTGGAATACCGGAGGAAGGTGCATTGATCAAATGGTTTAAACCTCAAGATCATGGGACATTGGTGTTGGATGATTTAATGGAGGAAGGTGGAAGTGATAAATGCGTGTTGGATTTATTTACAAAAGATTCTCATCATCGGGGAGTAACCGTGTTGTATCTTTCCCAAGATTTATTTCCACCGGGTAAATTTTCCTAAACCATTAATCAAAATGCTCATTACTTGGTGGCCTTCAAGAACCCCCGTGATCAAACAGGCATTCCTACAGTGTTATTAGAAGCCTTTCCAGAACGATGGCGCACCGTCTTACGTCTCTTTCGACGATTGACTACACGTCCCTTTGGCTATTTATTGTTGGATCTCCATCCTGCCTCCGATGATCGCTACAGATTATGGAGTCATTTGACCAAACGAGCGGGCGACCACAGATGCATACTTTTAGAGAGGACAAATTATTGACGAGACTAGGAAAACCCTATAAATAAACGCGTACACCTACCTTGAATCATTGCATTCATCATGGGCAGAAGAACCAAAGGCAAACGTAAACAAAGAGGGATTAGACGCCGTCATCCACCTGGTGTGGGGTTTTAAAAAGGTGGTATTGTTCCCTTACTCGCCCTTGCTTTACCAGCTCTAGCCGCAGCAGGGAAAGCAGCTGCTCTCGGGAGTTTAGGGGGTGCTGCCAGTTATGGTGTCAAGAAAGGATTGGAAGCAGCCACTCGTAGACGCCGCCGGTAACTATAAAGACCGGATCATGACACGAAAAGATGACAGACAGGATGGAGGGACGTATGAGTCGACAAGTTCCGTTTTTAAAAAGTGTACTCAACGAAGCCAATGCTCACAAACGTCAACAGCGATTACGGTATGCGAATATTGATCAAATCAATGCAGTGAGTGAACTAGTCCTGAATACTTTACGTGGTGTTGTACCTCAAGGAAAGTTCACCTTGAAGAGAATGAGACCTCACGCATCCGTGTTACGATTCATTGCCAATCCTAGAAATTCGGCGAAACGTCGACGACACACCATGATTCATCAATTAGGAGCCGGCAATCTAGTATGGAAAGAATTACGTCGATGTTATGAGTGTAGCCAGCGCCTATATAAATAGCGTGTGTTTTCTAAACGACATGTTAAACCAAGATGAGACCGCAACTCGTGGACATGTTGGTTCGCTTACTGCAGACGTTACGGGCTATTCTAGTGACGCTTAAAGAACTGAGAGAGATGATGAAACAAAAAGTGACCTGGGCTAAACTCAAAGAGCTAGTAACACGGTTTTTCCAACGAGTATAAAGCAGACCACACCTACCTAGAGGTCAATCAGTCAAGATGGTTGAGGACATGAAAAGTATCCCCGTGCAAGACTCAGTTGCGTTTTTGCGATTACGAGACCATTACAAAAATGACTTGTTGGAAGACAGTCGTTTAAACAAAGCCACACATCATCTCTTGTTAACGAGTCCATCCTCAGATGCGTGGAAACGACCTCAGTTAAAAGCTGTTGGCAGAGAACTAAGACAGTGGACTAAACGCGTTCGTCAGCCAGGTGGAAGTCGTGTGGGAGCGGGTGGAGGAGATGTAGAGGAAGAGGATGAGGATGAAATGAATCTAGCCGCATGACCTATGCACACCTTGTTGACTAAATTATTACCATCCCCAAAACGTATAAAACAGACCCCCTCATCTCCCCATCCAGTTGTTACTCCAAAAGCAGGCGTGAAAAGGAAAGCGTCTTCAAGTGGTCCAACGAAACGCTCGTCTAATTTATCCAAGTCCTCTACTCCTAAAGGACCAGGGGCGCCGAAAAAGAAACGAGTCTCCTTAGCCGTCACGCCCAAAGGAAAAAAAACACCTAACAAGAAGCGACTGTATTTTACACCACCCCAATCCACCCCAGAACTAATAGGTGGAGAAGAATTAGCTGAAGAACTTCCTCTCTCAGGGGCTTTGGGTGAGCAACCGTGGAGTAAACCCAAGGAAATTGCCCGCAACGTGTTTAAATCGTTCCGTCGTAAATCCAGAAAAGCTGAGGTACAGACCTTGAAACCAGTCCCAGGTTGGAAACCATTTGGAACCCCCCTCCAATGAAAACTTTATGGCAAGGACTACTCGTAAACGCAAGACCTCTAGTAAAAGGCGACGTCTTCAATGGGGAGGAAAGTTGGATATTCAGAAATTGTTGAGCAACACTGGGATCGAGTTCCACATCCCCGGATATCAGTACGCAGGGCCTGGGACCAAGTTGGCCAAACGTTTAGCAAGAGGGGATCCTGGGATAAATCGCTTAGACAAAATTGCCAAACAGCACGATATCGCTTACAGTAAAGCCAAGAATTTGCAAGATAAATGGAACGCTGATGACGTCATGATCCGAGCCATTGATCGATTGCCAGGCAAGAAAAAGTTGACTGAAAGAATGGTCAAAAAAGTAATGCAAGCCAAGAGACGTCTTAAGTTATAATGTGTTTTTTGATAAAATGAATAAAAGGTGTGTTGTGTGTTTTAAACAAGAGTGTCCTTATTAATTGTATACCCTCACTCAATAATACACACCATGTTTTTTTTAAAACAACTGCCAAGTATTTAATTAAGGGAATTGCGTCGCCATGCAACCTCTTCCCTTCATTCACTGCCATGTCCTATTTCCAATGGGGACATGTAAGGTCTCCTAAAGAGAACTCGCCCTTTCAAAACTATTGACATTGTTATAACGAAAGCAAAAGATCGACTTCATGATGAATGCGTGAATAACCATAGGGATAGGACCGTTTGGTGGGGAGGTCAATGGCCCTTTTATCAAACACTAAACCGTATTTTTTAACGCGTTCCGTCAACCTAATACGTTTGTTGGGTACATCCCGTTGAAAAAAATATGGATCTTTGACTAAGATGGTTCTTCTTTTGTCCTGGGGGTCATCTAATTCGGCAAGGATGTTGGCTTTCATGGTGTGATAATTCAGCGCTGCAGTCCCACGCACATTGAGGGTAAACCCGCGCACTTTACACTCCACCTTTCCACCACGTGTGATATACCAATAATTTTTTGCTCCGCCCGAGACAAACTCCTGGATCACATCTCCCTCTAACTCGTCTGTCATACATCCAAGGTAGTCGTCCTTCCACTCACATTCCCAGCATTCTTTCACTATGTAACCATTCAGGCGAAGACAACGGCTCTTGTTCCAGGTGGCCTGGTACAATTCTTCCAGGGTTCTGTCCGGGGAACAGTAATGCTTGTCATCTCGATTGGGATGGCACTTAGGGCATCCATGAAATAAACAGACATGGAACTCATAGACGGTGTTGGTTTCAGCATCGAAGCCGTCCACAAAATAGGCTGCGGCAGGGGTGAGGACCGTTTGTTCGCCTCTGTTGCGTACATGTTTGATTCGATCAGCGGATTCCCCCTCTTTCCAATACAACCATTCCAGAGCCACTTGCGATTGGTTGACTCGGGCCACTCGCCAACCTTGAGGTGGTTCCACGGCAATCTGGTCTGGTTTCACATGGTGTTTGCGCCAGTAGAGATTACACGCACTGGCAATGGTCGTGCACTTTTCAAATGGGTTAAAGCCTGCATTGGCTTGAAACTCTTGCGCAAATTTCTCACAACCTGCTTTGAGAAGGACCACGTCCGACTTGCAATAATCCACCATCTCACGATGAAAATCAAACACAATCTGACTCCTTACTTGCAAAGTTCACCTTGTTACGCAAATCCAGCGCACGGAGAAGGAACTGTTGTGGGGATTCACCACTACTTTGTTGGCACACGGTGGCCAATTGCTGATATACTTCTGAGGCTGTTTTCTCTCTATAATGGACACGAAGGATCCTTCGTAGCTTAGCTAGTGAGAGGTCACTTAGAGTCTCGACATAGCTCCGAAGACTACTGTGTGGAGAGATGACACGAATCACTGCATCCACAATTTCATTTTCTTGGTAATCACGTTTTAGCCCTGAGTCTATTTGGTGCATTAAGGAAACAAAAGTTAGTTTCTCTGTTTGCCCTGGTTCGCCGATCTGACCAGAAATCTTAAATTCGCAACGTAGCAAAGATGAACTCGACTTTGTTTTCGCTAACTGACTCAATATATCTTCCACTATCTTTTCTTGTTTAGGTCCTCCGTCAGAAGACTGTTTCTCCGTTTTTACTCCTGAAGCTGCTGGTTTTTATCTCTACCTCTTCGAGGGGTGGTACATTGCCGGTCACAAAAGCAAGTAACTGTTCGAGGCACGCTCGTGCTTCCTTTTCATTGCCCGCCATTTTGCTGTCGATGGTTTTCGTAATAATTTTGATTCTCTGCATCTTACTTTTACCCGCAAGGTCATCGTCGATTCCCAATAGTCCTATCATTTCAGCCAAACCCTTCTCATCTTGTTTGAACAATCGAGACTCTACTTGGAGTTGTAATTGTTCCATAATTAATTCTAACCGCGAAAGCTTATTTCCAAACTGAACACAAGTAACCTAGCGCAAACGCTGTAATTCCGGTAACAGTGAGCCAACAGAACAAATCAACTCGTCCACTTCGCCAAACACAAAATAACTAGTGAATGTACTCCACCGTCACAGAGCCCAATATTGTAAAGTCCTACCGTACGCATCTGACTGTTTTCGGTCGCCGCTTGTCTCCTCAACTGCAAATCCACGTGTTCATACCGCTCCACTCACAATCTCCTTAGCTCCAATTCTGACCATTTCTGCTTCCCTTCACAACAAATAACGTCCCACGGACTTGAGAATCAAAGTTCGTCCTGGCGGGGTCGCCAAAATGTTACCCTTGTTTCATGCGTCTACAAATAAACCGTAAAACTTCTTTACACTTCACATGCTTCACACGTTCATTCCGTTTCTTTTTCTCTCGTCACTCGTTCAGCTCGCGCTCTCTTTTTGATAACCCGGATGAATACGTCATACACAAGACTCGTTTCCGCTTCCGGTTGTTTTGTTTTTAGTACGATCTCTACATGCAACACTTGTGGGCACTTGAAACTCGCCGGAGTCCGCAGTGCGTTCAATAACATCGGAATATCATCCTTGGCCACCCTGAAGTGAGCTTCGCACTCGCAAGAGTCGAACACATCCAAACAGAATGGATCAAAATTCCAGTACGGAAATGAAGGATTAACGGGTTGGTAATAATCGTAAAGAACAATAAACTCTTCATCATCCAGAAAACCATCCGCATAAGCGATTAAAAGGGTGTTTGTAGCATCTTCGAAAGACATTTTTTTTCCAAGTGCAGCCGTAGTCCGTAGTCGTTGTCACGATCTTAAGTCAAACGACACTCCAATTTTCGCGCCCTTTCAGCGTAGTCAGCCCAGTCCACGCGTGGCTTGGACTCTCACGCCCAGACGTAGTCCGTAGTCCGTAGTGACCGTATCTTAAACTCCCTAATTAAGAGGAGAGATCACAACCATGAGCGGTGCATTGGGAAACTTATTCCCCAGGGATGAGAGCTTGGTGGCTACAGCGGGACAAATTTGGTATATAAGGGATTTTCCACGACCAGTTGGCAGCGTCACAAACGTATCATTACTGCTCGGGAAACAGTTCACAGACCTAGACTGATGTGCGGTGAGGTTACGTATTCCTCCGACATTAGGGAATTTAAGATTTAAGACTACGGTTAACGGCTACGGTTGGACGAGTACGCGGGATCTGGGTTGAGCTTTTTTGCGCGTGCGCAAAAGTTATCGGATGGCGTTTTGCTTACCGTCGTGTTACACTACGGTAAGTTTTGACAGCTTTTTTCATCGTAGTCAAAGATCTACAACGTGTGACTTCAAAGGTGAGAATTTCGTATGTTAGTCAAAGTAATAACACCTTTCTTTTTCTTTTCGATTTAATTTCTGAGTTTACCAGTGAGCTTCGTTTGTTTCTTAAAGATGTTACACTGATTTCTTTTGTTTTTTCATTTCATTTTCAGAGTTTACGAAGCGGTGCGGGAGTGAAAGCATGGATATCCACGGTGTAAGTAAACCGAATGTTTTGTGGTAGATCGCTCATACTGTTTTGTAGTAGATCACTGTATATGCTTCAACCGAAAATAGGTTAAAATTTTCGAATGTTTTTAATTGTTTATTTGCTTATTGTTAAAACTTATGTTCACGTTTTTGACAGGGTCACTACCTCGGCCGCCGCGGACAGCTTTACCTGTTCCTTGAGGGCATCGAAAATATTCTGGGACCTGTAAAGTGTTAACCAATAAAGGGATATCTTCTTTGTCTACTCTAAATTCAGCTCTAGCTTCACTGCTGTCAAAGTTATCGAGGCTGAAAAGCTCGTATTCCCAGTGAGGAAAATTTAAATTTGTGGACTGGTACTCTTCGTAAAGAATTAGAACTCTTCTTCACTGATCACTCCATCAGAAAAAGCGAAAACTAAGGCTTCACGAAGTTCATGAAATGACATTTTTCACACGACCGTTGATAAGTGATTCAACCATAGCAGCTTGCTTGTTTACAATCTTAATCTCTTTTTTTTTCACTCCAAACGGTTCGTACTTGATCCAATCCACCATCGGCAAGAACCAGACCTCTCCTGCTCGTCCAACCGTAGTCATTCAACCGTAGTGCTCAATCTTAAATTCCCTATTAAGTTTACTCAACGCTAAACCGACAGCTTTTTCAAACTCACTAGCATTCCATGAAGGATTGCCACAAGCGGCAGCCATTTTTGTTTATGGAGTGTGGGCGCACGAAAGATCAGTAAAACTCCAAAATACGCGTGCGTGCACAGGAAAAACTGGTTTATCCAGTATGAAACTTGTCTGACTCATGCAAATCGCTGTATGATGGGCAGATCAAACGATTTTGAAGATGTCAGCAGAGTCGCCTTCCTCTTTCCCGACTTATCTAGGAATGATTGAAGCGACTCTGCTAGCAGGGTAGGGGGAATTGTAAGTGGAATTGAAATTCCAGAGACATAGTTGCGGGCTCTCCTTCTTTTTCCCGCCCCGCCGCTAGAGCACCCTGGAGAGCTTGCTTACAGGCTAAGAGGCAAATGCAGTCCTTGTATTGATTGTAACAGCTTACTTTGACTTTTCTGGAGAATTACAATAATTATTCTTCAAAACAACTTTACTGTATGAATTACTGGTACTTGATTCGTTTTGTACTACGATTAATAACTTTTTTTCAGGTCTTAAAGAAGCAGAAAAAGAGAGAGCAAAAGCTGCTAACTGTGGACCAGCTTAAGTGCAATATTTTGATTCGTAAAACTTTCATTTGTTTGTCCTTGGCAAAGTTGATGTTAAATTTCCCAGGCTAGGCTATTTTTATGACCCTTTTCATTGCTACCAGATTTCCTTTTGATCATATGTGAAGTTTATTTAAATTTGATTTTATTTTTTTCAAATATACGTTAACACTATTTATTTTGCTTCTTATCAAAAACATTTTTTTTTACTTATAGTAATTAATAATAATTAATGCTATCCACCCCTTAGCTAAGACAGGGATATGAACACACTTTGTGGGGTAAAGGGGTAGGGGATTACCCGCACTCCAGTCGCAAAATTGTTGACATAACATGTTGGTCTAAAGCTAGTATTATGCAACAAAGAGAGATGATAAAACTCTCTCAAGGGTGATAATCCCTTGGCCGCGGAAGGGGTAGTAATCCCCTACAGGAGGTGATAATCCTGCGCGATAACACTCATTCCTATGGCAACACAGCTATAGGAGTACCGATCCCCAGAATGAATAGCTGCCATGAGTTTGTGGGTGAAAGTGTGACCAGCATTGGAGCACTTAATACCCCAAAATACACAAAGTGTATTCCCCATAGACGAACAGAACAAATATTAAATGATATGCTAAAGCCATTTATGATATACTTTAATAAAGATGCATAGAGTGTTTTTGTCTAAGACCCAACGAAGAGAAGCTCATGAAAATATCAGATACTGTGTAAAACACTGAATAGTAAAAATTTAGAACGAAATAACCTTGCACAATTATACACCAGAAATAAAATGGGTTTATCAAAACCACTCCATGCAAACAATGTAAACAATAACTAACTTGAGTTTTGAAGTGGCTTCAAAGCAACCCCAGATAATATTGACTGTGAGCATTGGATGTATCTCTCACTACAATCAGATGACCACCCTCCTAATGTTTTAACCAACCTGAAGAAGGCTGGTATGGCCAGCCGAAATATTGTTATCAAAAACAATACACGTTGTTTTAAATCAGCTTTGCAGTAGTCTTTGGACTTCTCGTTCCTAGGGGGAGGGTCGCTGAAGCCGCATCT